GTGTCAGGGCACGAGCCTGCGTGACGTCTCAGCACTGCCAGCATATGATAGATCATGTGAGGAGGAATTACGCTGGCGCAATGCATTGTACTGATTTGTAAATTGCTCCCATTTTGTTGATATAAATGTGGACAACTTGAACTGGTGTTGTCAGTGCTATGCATCGCAAAGCCATTGATTTAACATGCAGGTATGAAGGATGGTGTTCAGGTCAAGTGCTGTCGCAGAGAGTTCCGGCATGTCTCCGCGTCAAGCGTTACGAGACAATCAGGGGGTATCCGGATGATTGTTGGTAATCAGGACTACATTGCTGCTAATGATGAGTGGTTACGGGTTGTCACGTACTGTAATGCCGTGAGATGATGGTAGGTAGTTGGTATCACGAGGAGGAATACTGTCAGCAAAAAGGGAAGAGTCATTCTGTTGATCGTTAGATTAAGCATTATTACGAAAATCTTGAATTTGCATAGTGCCGTAGGTTTCATATCGCCGCGTGAGGACAGACACTGTTATGTATGCTAAGACAGCGCGTCGGATGTAGGTCACTGATCCATCTCGGGACGCAAAATATATGTTTATCACTTAATGTTAAACATTTCGGAGGGCTATGCCGTCGACCGCGTTCGCTCCAGTGCGTAAGTTTTGCCAATGTATGCGATGCACCGCTAATTGCTAGCGGTGCAGCGTTCAGAGAATACAAACCACTCAAGCGACCAATGTAGACGTCATCGCGATTGCCTACACCTTAACCACCCCCTCCAATTCAAGCAGCTTATGGCAAGTACAGTGCTTCACCTTTACTTTGGGCTACATGGTATGCGGTACTGTGTTCCGCTTACTGTGCACAGATCTTTCGCTACATACAAGCCTAAAAATAAGAATGTGGTAGTCGTATCACAGCATTGGCCCTCTCAGCAGAGTGCCGCCCATGACATTTTTCTCTTACTCAAGTGACTAACTGTCAAACCAGAGTTCACTGCAAGTAATGCAGGCTATTTAGATCGCTTTGTTCACAAACATCCCATAAAATTTTGTCACCGCAGACTCCGATCATTCGCAGTCAAACACCTGTGACTGTCTTGATATCCGAGCACACTGAACCTGCCCGAGCGCTGCTAGTTCGTCCTAACAGTGTCATCTTGCGACCTTGGTCTTCTGAGGTTCTTATTTGCAGCTATAAAGGGGATTTAATTTATAAAATTATTTTCCCTAATTTCTCACGTCTTGTCAAAGATGAAAATCATGGCGAGCCATTAGTTGCAACTAACTGGAAGTATATCAGTTTTCATGTAATTAGCCCTGCTGAATCACCATGTCACACTCCGTTTTATTGGTGCGTTCAATATTTAATCTTTCTCACTTCATTACGGCCATCCTACGGGACATGTCAAGCGTCGTCTATTTGACCTGTTATATACCTTTGTACTACCATCTGCGATTGTGGACTAGGTGTTCACAGGCAGTTAGGTAGGAAATTGAGTGTTATCGTCATCGCGGTATTGTGAGCTTTGCAGCTGCAACCATCGTAGGAAAATATGTGGGGTTGCTCGCTTATATGCTGTGTCGGCCAAGTACCTTTGCTGGAGAAGAGGCAGTGAAATGGACAGACAAATATGCCGAGCAACGATGTAGTGACTCTCATGTGTGAACTTACCACTAAACTGGGTACGGGATACGAATTCAGTTGATGCGCACCGATTTGCGTGTCAGTTGCCCATACGTTCGGTCCGCACCAGTCCGCCCATGCATGTGCGCACAAATCAGTCGATGCGAAATTCCGACAGCTCGGTCGCAGTTGCTCATTTGATTCAGGGACCATCAAGTCAGTGTACTGCATCCACCATTAGGGTAAGCGACGCCGGTTGTAACAAAGCAGTGCCTACTCGTCTTGCAACAAAATGGCCACAGTTGTATTTCGGCAGCAGATCGACGCTGAAGACGACTCTCCATAACCCAAGGCGGTCACCTTCCAACCTGCATTTGCGTAGGCCCCATTTGTCGCTCTACTTACAAGTCCGTCACACCGCCCCCGTCATACGCAGGCATTCACCTCTGAATGCCTCGCTATCCGGACACAGTACCGTCGTATGCCCTAGCGTTGGTAGGTCGTCCAAATATTTTGGCTGCGCCAATGCGAAACTAGCCATAAGATGGCTATTGGGGTGTCGCGTTACGTCGTTCGCAAACCCCACCCCAAACTTGTGCCATCCGCAAGGCATGCTTTACATACATGGCAGTCCACTTACGCACACTGAACCCTCCACCCAGTCGCACCACGTGTTTGGACAACCTTGTGTCCCTAAGCTGCGTGGAACTAGCTTCAGATTAGGCACCGTTGCTGGATGGAGGCTAGAACGCTCACGCGTCCCCATCACACACCACAAACTCATACATTCATGCAAGGGTTATTACATTTACCTTTATTGGATGCTTTGGACTAGCTCAATGCCAAGGTCACTGCGCGCGCTTGATGCGTCGAAACGATATGGATGCAATACAATTGCGTTAAACATGATATTCAGTTGGCTTGCGGATGCCAATCAGAGCTTTAGAGAGCAATTCAACTGCACTATAAAATAAATAAAATAAATAAATTTGTATATTTACCGACGGACGGTACACGGCCCCATAAGTGGGAGCGATCATTAGTGAACACGTTTCATAACATTAAATACAAGTTTACTGATAGCATTTCGGATCATGATTACTTTTCCTTTAGTCCTAGACCCGCGCAACTCATATGTAAAATTTACGGACGTTTGTATCGTCAGGAGTAGATAATAAACGAAGGGACTATTAGGCTGCAAAGACACAGGATTTGGTATGGTATGTAATGACATGTAGTGGGTAAGCTAGCTGTAAGCTATTATCAAATGTTTTTTATACCAACTTCTGTCAATGTTTCTAGTGTTTGTTGTGAGTCAAATATCTTCAGAGTATTTGGTATAGTGAGGAAGGTCTGAAAGGGATTTCGAAAAGTGACATGTCTTGTACACATGCGTATCTGTAGGGGTAGTTTGTTCCACAAATAAGTGTATCTCACTAAGAAGAAATTCGATCGAATTTTATGACTTGAAAGGTTTGTACGTATCAAGTAGCCGCCATTACTTGTGGGGTAGACTGCAGTCTTCCGTAGTTCAAGTGCGGTGCTGTCTGCGTAAATTCGTTGGTTTATAATGTTGTAGAAGAGAACGAGGTTCTTCTTTAAGCGTCTCAGCCAAAGTGGATCCAGCTGGAGTTTTCGACAGCGATCATAATAAGTCAGGTTTGAGCAGCGTCCCATGAGCAGTTTGGTAAATGATTGTTGGACATTTTCTAGAGCCGTTCTGTCCTTCTTTCTCAATTGGCTGTGAAGGATAGTACAATATTCCAGAGTCGGTCGTGCGATTGTCTTGAATGATTCAAGTCGTACTTCAGGCAGGGAGAAAGTTCTGGTGATATATCCGCATAGCTGCCTTGATTTCGCAACCTGATAAAGAACATGTTCGGAGAAATTGAAAGAGTTGGAGTACCTAATTCCTAAGTCCCGAACTGAATCAGACGTTGGGATCACGTTTCCGGCAAGTATAATGGAGCCTTCTGGGATGCGGCATCTGTACCCAAGTACTTGGGATTTCACTGCGGAGAACTTCATTAATATGCGCTCACTAGCTATATTTAGTGCGGATAGGTCTTCACAGATGTTTCCCAAACACATATGTAGTTGGTCTGGATGAAATGAGTAGACCAGTTTGACATCATCAATCGGGAAAAGGTGTAGTACCCACCAACTCGTGCACACTGGCTCCTGGAGATAGTTGGTCGTTACTGAAGGGGACGGAATGCACGGTTCTTGTGGCCGTGGTAGGCTCGAAGAGCGATTCCATGAACTCAGAGTGGAGCGGACTACGTTTGTGCGCTTGGTTCCCCAAATACATGCTTGCATTTGCCTGTGAAGGAGCGTGGGCCGACTCGGTTGATGAAACGTGACATCCACATGCCTCCCAGTCTTATTCCTTCGGGTTTTCACTGGATATGGGGTGTGTGGATGGAGCTGTGGGTGGTGTAGTGCAAGTCACCCATGGTCCCTCTGTAGGTGCATGCGTCCTGCAGCTGTCCTATGGAAGGCACAGTGATAGGCAAATCCCAAATCTGATGCCGTCAACCATATGATTCACGTGCCTTCTGATGTTATTCATATGGGTTTACACTGGATATTGGGTGTGTGGATGGAGCTGTGGGTGGTGCAGCGTAAGCCATCCATGGACCCGCAGTAGATGCATGCGTTCTGTGGCTGTCCCCGTGGAGGTCGCAGTGACAAGCACGTCCCGGACCGGATGCCGCCAATCACATGATCATCAAAGAGGAAATTGAATGCAATGACGAAAAGTAGGCTATTTAAGACCGCCAGCGTAAAGTGTTGTCATTCAATGAGAACAACTGTACTTATGACAATAGTAACATGTAACAGTTCTCCAAGTGTTTCTGTACTTCTCCAATCTAAAGTTGGATGTAATCGTTTCATCGCCAATCTAGGTGACATTAGCGTCGCAAGGCATTAAGCACAGCACATTGTTTAAACTGGATTGTATATACATTTCGCTGTTTGATTTTGCTTATTCGCTCAGAACCGCGAAGCGGGATAAAACGTGAATAGTAATGACCGAAAAGCATACTGTGATCAGCGTATATAGGACAAAACATATTGGCGTGCACTGATTTCATCATGCTGAGCTGTTATAAGACGTCAGCAACCGAAATTCAAGGCACGCAGAGGACTTGGTCGGTCAAAGCTTTTATAAAAAAATGAACTAATCGAGTAAAATCAATGCTCCGATTTGTTCATTATCGTAGGACATGGTAAAGATCCCTGCATGAAGGTCGTTTTAAATTGGCATAGCTGTGCCACGTAGGCGTTAACATACCCAGCAAGTTTACTACGCGAATTTGTTAGCAGAAATATGCGCTGAGGTAGGGCAAGAAAAAAGTAAGCTAGTCAGGCCAAAATGTGACCAGCTCACCTTAAACGCCAAGCCGTCTGCACCAGAAAGTGCCGGTATCTGTCCGTTGTCAAAGGTGGGGATGTCCATTAGTGAGGCGCCACACAGCTTCCTCCTTTGCGCCTTATCAAAATCACGATTGGTTCGCTGTCTGAAGTACTTTGGTGAGCGGTCGGGTGTGAGCACATCGTCCTCCTCACTGTCCCCGAAATAATCCATGGTTGCAGTGACCAAATGCTGTGATCTTGAACAAATGGGCGAATCTTGTTTAATAGAATTGAACGATGATCGTTCGGCCATGCATAGTGAAGATCCTGTGTTGTTTAGTATGTTACCACAATTCCTGGTGACGTTCCTCATGTTGCTCAGTTCTTTCTGGCGCGAATCACTCACCTTTATCTTGAGGGGCACACAGTCGGATGTGCGCCGAGATCTACCACTGCATTGTTGCTCTTTCCCAATATAATTATCGACACTCATAGCAAGACGGTTGTACAACTCGCTGTTAAGTGGCAAAGCGGATGAACACCGTTTATCTTGAGACTCCGACAAGTGCGTGCTACTGGAAGATTTATCGTTTCGGAAAATCTTGGGATGGTTTGTCATTTTCTGTACTGTTAAGCAAAAGAATGTAGCAGAAGTCCATTATACTCTTGGCAAATTTGTGATAACTCAGGGCATATGTATTTCGTAGGTAGAATGTACAATAATATTACTCTTTAATGACAAGCAATAACACGAGCAACGTACATACCAACGAATAATGGCGGTCTGAAACGGAAGTCGTCGATCTGCGTGCTTACCCTGTTCTGCACCTCAATGCTATGTATGAGAACGGAGCTTGGGCAGCATTATGCCACAGATAATACTCAGTCGTGAACGTGTGCCTCCGTCATACGTGGCTTAAGTCGCATCATGTGAGCAAGAGCATGAGGATTAGCAGATGTGAGCCACTGATGAGTCCCAGCAAGATGAAACGGTCTTTCAACGCTTTCCGCATAACTAGTAGTTGTCGGAATCAGATTGACTGCGATCGACCTTCCCAAAAAGCAGCGAAGGTGTTCCCCCACCACAGTTCAGCATTATGCCAATACAACTGGTGGACCACTATATCATAACAAGATGTAGGTCATTTTTCCACAAAGTATCCCTACTCAGGCCAGGTTCAGACCGCATAGTGCAGTGGTGACTGCTCAGATTCCTGTATGAGAACTGTACCCATTTTTTGTTACAGATCTAACGGGCATATATTAGTGGACAGAGCTTTAGCTTCATAACCTACTGAGCAGCATTAGCCGTTTATTTTTGAAGACGTCTCATCACAAACTCGTATCAATTTGATAGCAGCTGCACATTCGAAAAAGTACTTGAGAATCCATCGGACGTCTTATTTTGAATAAGTCGTTGCTCAAGCGAGCTGTGAAGCGTAAAGTTAATCTGGGCTACCATTTACCTTGAAGTGAACCTTATGTGATGAGGCTGCGGCTGACATCCCAAAGGCCGCGTGTTTCTGTCGCAGTCCTGCTATCACTACCTGACGAGTGCAAGCCAGTGCGAATCCGATCGTGGAATGCAGTGGTGCGAGGGGACAACACCTAAACGTTATCCACTTGTATGTTTCGTCCACATAGAAATTGTCGATAGCATACATCTTCGTCTTATCCCACCGGACTTATCATTCCAAACAGCGTTTGCGGCATCTACTTAGTTAGCAACCAGTTACAAAAGCTGACGATCAGTCCACAAATTGACTGCTTACAGTTGGAAAGGTCGAAAGTGAGAATTTCCGCCCCTACCCCAGCGTCCTAAAAAAACAATTTAAATAGTCAGCTGTATGCCGTAACGGCGCTTCGTTGCCGCGTGACCACCACCAGTTACGCGTGCTGAGTATACCGCGAGGACGCCCACCTATACGCGGATTGGAACAGTAACTTTATGGTTGCAAACCAGGCGCAGACCACTCGGCCACCGGGCAGCGTCCTAGCTTGAAGATCAGTCCGCTATTAATTAGGTGGGCCGCAGCAGCTGATTCAAATGGTACAACTTAGGTGTCGGGTTAAGTTATTCGATATCTATGATTCACAGCTCCACAGGATTCCTCCACATACACTCGAAGATTTAGTGTGTTCAGTACTCATACGCAAAAAACGACGAAGGTTTCCCAAAACTTCAGCTTGCACGCTTAGAAAATTAAGTTACTTTTCTGAAGAAGCGATCGGTTGGTAAACTGGTAAGGTTGATACACGCATTTCGGGCGAGGGTGCTCGGTTCTTCTTTCAGCTGGGTATTCTGGTTGTGGAGGATTCGTTTTCAAGCTTAGAAATATCTTCAGCGCAACTTCAAGGAAGGGACTTACCAACGCTGCTGAATTGCGTTTATTTCTGAGCCCCAGCCATAATTTGGCCCTTATCTTCCTCATTGAACTTTTGTTGTTGGATGAGCGGTTGGCTTGTTGACCAGTTACTTGCCTTTTTGTTTCGTTGATTTGAGGTAACTAACTGGTCAGAATTATAACGCTTTGTAAGTTGTCTCAAATTTCAAGTGTCTATAGCTCGAATTATGCACGCCAAGAATTTGGTCTGAAGAATATCAGGATACGGGTAAGAGTAAGAAACGCGTGAGTTTGCCGGAGCTTGGCACTCGGTGCAGATCTCGACTATTGAGCACTTGGAATTTGAGGCAACATACGAATAGTTATGACTCAATTCAGTTAGCTGCGTCAAAGCAGCGGGGTATAAACGCAATTACATGGTCAACGTTCCGCCCTCATGCAGAAAAGTGGTCAATGGCCTTATCTTGACCTTTGACCAAAAATAAATGCAAGCCAGCAGCACTGGCAAGTCACTTTCATGGAGTTGCACTAATTATGTTACCAGGATAGATCACGCTGATTTTTACAACCAGAATACCTAGATGGAACAACCAAACTTTCAGTATTACAAGCAAAAGTATCCCCAATAATTGAAATCCATACCGGTGCGAAGGTCTGATTTTCACTTGGCTTCTTGAATGCATGATCTGGTGAGCGTAAAATATGCATTATTTTAATGCACATAAGAGGTTATGAGGTGCGCAGTAGCTTTACTAGATTGCTCAAGCAGCTTTCAAGAGGGAAACAGCTAGAATTCCAAATTAGCAAAGATCGCGGAACTTTTGATTGGTTTCATATATCCCGCTCAAACTTCCCCTCCAGCTTTTATGGATTTAGTTTAGCTGTGCACCAGTGGCCTCTGAACGGGCCTAAGGTGACAGGCAGATGAAAGGAAATTGCACTTAAGTGTTCGTCCGCGGTTAGGAGTGTTGCTGAGGAGGTTAAATGATCTAGCTTTGTAAACAAGACGTTTAAGATGTAACCGATTCTGCAAACAACAATTGGTCGACATGGGAATCACTGTGATAGCGTACCGTTAACTTGAGCGGACTTCGGCTGAACCTGAGGTTTTGGAATCATGCAGTTCTGTTGTGCTAAACTTTTTCCGCCTTTTGCTGATTTGGATACCCGACTGGAGCCGCTCGTAGTGTCCCGATCCGAGGACCAGCTGCTAGTTGCCACTGCTGCACAAGCTTCTTTGGTACGCCCCATCGAAGCCGTCGCTTTCGTGGTTCTCCGAGGGTCCGATTTGACTTCTTTGACGTCAGGGTTTATCATGCTGCGTGGTCGCATAACCGTGAATCTGTTAGACGATCTGGCCTGTTGTTTAGTCTTTTGGAAATCCACCTTGCTTAAATTTACCGTGAACGGACCTCCGTTGTTGAAATCGTGACCTTCTGCTGCAGAACCGGATAAGTGTTCATGTGGAGAGGTGCTGTGGAATGAAAACCAAAAAGGATATAAAGCGATACTTTAATGTGGTAAAGCATTTACTTCGCATACATTTTTCAACTGGCCAATTGAAGTGGCCAGAACATTGAATTTAGACGGAGTAAGAAACAGTGCTTTATAAGCACCGTTGGCGGTCTGGTTGGACTATCGAAAAACGTTAAGAAGAAACAGGTAGTATTTTTACTTCAACAGAAAGACCGCTTTTAGTGTAGCTACTCTGCACTAAGAGTAGTTTCATAGCAGGTGATAACTAACAAATCTAGAATATTTTCCAGGAGAATAACGAGGAGGTAATGTTACGTAACAAAATTCAAGTGACTGCGTGCGTCCTATGACCGTCTTTTAAATATGACTAATGTCGAGGCAAACATGGCCGATCGGGGGAGTGAGATACGCGGGCAGAAAAAATTATGCGGTCTTTCAGGCGGCCTTGTTGTCCTGCCAGTTTCAAGGAGTGACTTCACAAGTTTGTACTGCTGTTGAGCTGAAGTGAAGAGCTGCACACATTTCAGCCATTCTCACATGAAAGATTGCGCTTTCCAGTGGTGTACTTGAGAGCCCGACAGTGAGGTTGTTCCAGAGCACTGATATCGTGATTTAACCGTAGATGGCATGCTTGAATTACCTATTCGACATGGGGTAAACATAAGCACTGGGTATCTGTCGGAAATTAGATATATCCGAAAGCTGGTTTCAACAAACCAACATGCTGATTACAAGTCATCCTGAACCTGCACGCCCAAGTTAAGTTCAAGCGAAGAGGGCCGCAGTACTCGTTCCAAGCCTGTAGTAGCAGGCACTCTGGTGTTATCTAGGATGTTTCGCATTTATTCACGTTGAAGGGCAGGAAGTCCCGAGTTGACTACTGATGTACCAAATCTAGGTTCCGCTGATGAAAGTGCTGATGGACATCAAGTCAAATCCTGCGCCACATCTTAACATCCACAGTAGACAATAGGAAACTTGAAGCGATCCTAGCAATGAGGCTTGATGAGTACTACGCTCGACATGTATGGAGCTCCTAACTCTGAGCATCAATTGTTGTTGGAATAGATTATTGGTGATTCAGCTCAAGATGCCATGGAACCCGTAATACTGGAGACTGGAAAGAGAAATCCGATGGTCTAGATGATTGGACAATTCAGAAAATCCAGATAGATCAAGTTAACATCCTCTCCGACGTTAATTGACTCAGTCCAACATTGTTGTTCACTATCGCTGTCGGTGAAAACCGTGCTTCTCGGGAGTAATGATGTGGCTGAATTCCAGAAAATACACCAACGCCCCAGCGATGATAGATTCCATGGAGAAGGTACACTGGGCGGTAGTTTGAACGCTCAGCCCTGCTTTCATCTTTGCGAATCAGTTATTGGTTACAAACGTATACATGGTATGAACCGGATTTTGGTATAACTAGAGCTGGAAGAACTGAGGCAAAGATCCAATCAGTAGTCCTACAGATGCTCCCAATGTTTCTCTTCGAATAGTTTCGGTACAAGTTGAGCTGTGGTGGCGCAGAGACGGCAGCTTCTACAAGACAGCTCCCGTGATAAAAGAGACGTAGCAGAGTCATGGGGGCGGGATAACAAAATCTGGAAGGTCGCCTGATGGCCTAACTTTTGAAACATGGGTCCTATTGCGTTCGCAATGCGTGCCCTGCTTCGCTAGCAGTTTTTCTCTCACTACCAGCCGTCCGCAGCGGAAGCAATCAGAGTCTCACCTTACGAAGGCCACGGACGTGCGTATGCAGCATTTTGTGGTTGGCACCAAATGTTTGTGAAATATCCTGCTGATGTGCGGCTTGCTGTTATCCGAACAGTGGAGTGCAGTGGTTACGTTAGTTGATGTAGTTGTCCAAGTGTTTGGCGTTGAAAATAATCAACACACTCGCCATGCTGTGGCGTCTGCTACCACTGATCTCGCGTTCTGTTCCTTACGATAAAACAACTGTTTACGGCCCATTGCGAACTCGTACTTCTTAAGCACCTTTAAGCAGCCTATTAAATTTGCTGGTGAGTTCCAGCCATGCAACCTCCGGTGGGTCTTCGGTCAGGAACGACCGGGTGGTGGCACTGAAAGCTAGGCTAAGCGATTGTGACGTGTAATAGTACGCTTCATCAATAATTTCTCATTACGGTATTCTACTTAACAGATGAACTAGTAACTGATGACTGCATAATCCCTGCGGTCATAAAGGTAGTCCACAATTAAGGCAACAATCATGTGTCTCACGTTGGTGAGCACACGACACGGTATAGACGGCTTGTTGCCTATTCTGAACCGAATTGGAAAAATGACGTGGTGGTAAAGCGGAACACTTTTCCGGGTTCTCTGTAGATCGATTTTGTATGGTTTCGCGATTGCGACAGGGTTTCTAAACCATGTACGTAGAAATAACCCATAATAAGGATGTGAGTGTAATTTCTAATTAAAGTGCGTCTTAGAGCATTCTCTAAGTGGCAGTTCATTTCGGGTGTAAAGTAGGGGGAGCGGGAGAGTAAGGCTATAAGCAAGTAGCCGTGCCTTTTAACTGAAGTTGGCACCAAAGCGAATCTGAAAGCTGCGAGTCTGAGCACTTCATGGCCACACTGTAGATTGCTTCGGTAATACAAAATTACCCCTTCTCCTCTTGTGAGTCTGTCTTTTAGTATGAGCGACATGCCCGGTAACGAGGCCTCAGTTTCCACCATCCCAGCGTTTAGAATACCATTCAATAACACAGTAAGCGTCATGTTTCAGTTTGATCTATCATTTGCGGCTTCACAGCATAACAAAAGTACCGTTTTGTCACGTTTCAGTTGGACAGATGAATTTCATTTCCATCGGGGTGACACCGTAATCCATTTCCGGTTGCAGCACTCTCGTAGTGATCCGGTAAAACGTCGCTTTATGCCTCTTTAAACTGCTCTCACCTTCAGCACACGTGCTATGATCCAGGCAAGTCTTCAATCCGAATCAACCAACAGTTGCAATAATATGACCCATGCCATCATTAATTGTGAAAATCAAAGAGGATACCAAGGGCACATGTAGCATTCTCGACCAATTCATGCCAGTGCTCAGAACAGGCAGAAAAGGGGACAATAAATAGACACGCACTACACACTACAGTGCCTATATTTCTTTAATACGCGACAGGCTCTCTGGAATAGGGACAGTACAGCAATGGTTATGCTCATGCACGAGTAATATATTTTGTATCGTTCGCGTTTTTAAGGTGCCCTGAGCTACATGGTTTTAGTTGGTGCGGTTTTGTGCATCAGTATTTCCCACTGGCAATATATTCTTTGGTTCATCCTGGATTAACTCATTTGGTGATTTTCCTGATGAAAACATGGCCACGTGCAGAATATTCGCACATTTGTGTATGACCTGATGGTGGCTGGTAGGCTTTTCCAGGTGACATCGTATCTGACGAGGAAAAGGTTGGATTGAAAAAGTGTCCTGGTTCTTCGCATAATTAATTTACAATTCTTGTTGAGATGTCCCTGAACGAAGTTGGGCTGCATTTCTGATGTAGACGGATTGGAGTATGAGATTGTGTATGGCCATCAAGTTGTGTTTCAGTCGTCCCAACCAAAGAGGCTCAAGGTTAAACTGTTTGCAACGCCTCTGATAGTCCAAGGAGGACGAGTTACGGAACAAACGTTTAGTGAATGAGCTTTGCAGGTTTCCCAGCAACATTCTGTCGCCTATCCGCATGTTTCGATAAGTGCTACTGCAGTATTCAAGGATAGAAAGAGGTAGTAGTTTGAAAAACTCGGTTTTTGCAGGGACTGACATATTTTAGTCATAGTTTGTTTAGCGCGTGCTATTTGATATCCAGCGTGCTCTGAGAAGTTGAGGATCGAAGAGTATCGCATTCCTAGATTACCTTAAGATAGTTTCAAACAGTAGTGTTGCTTAATGAGTTCATCTGCGTCTTAAGGGATCAAACATAGGCAGGACATGATGCTTAACTTGCTATATGGGAACTTCATCGGCCATATATCACCTTTTTCGAGTGGATCGATGTTTTCTTGAACGAGTAACATTGTGTTCTGGAGTTAGTCTCGCCTACATTTATGAAGAGTCTTAATATCGCTGGCAAACAAAATGATTTGCCATGTCTGATCGACATGCCGATGTCATTAACCTAGGAAACAAGTAATGCCCATTCAAGTACAAGGTCAGCCAATTCAGTATTGGATCTATAACCCCGTAGGACTCCGTTTTTCGGCAGCCGCTTATAAGGCATCCAGCTGAACGACGTTTGCATGACTGGAGTCAATTGTTTCTGTTAACTTATCAGGATAGCGCAACTGAGAAGTTATAAAGGACCGTTCATCGAGAAATTTAGGTTGGAATCTATTAAACCGACCAAGACGATAAGTAAAACTCCTCATTATACTTTGAATCAATTTTCCGAGAAGTTTGGCACTTATGGATTTGTGATGAATAGACCAGTAATTAGGGACATTCTGTTCGGTTCCCCTTTATACGAGAGGTAATTAACGATGTTTTCTACTGGTGCGGAAAATGCTCAGATTCTAAGGATACGGTGGATATGTTTAGCAAATGTGGCAATATGTCAATTACTCCGAATTTGACGGCGTATGTGTGGCCATCGGAATCCAGCTTGAGCGATGATTTGATGGACTTCATAGCCTGTTGCATGTTCAAAAAAGAAATATCGACATTGTATATGATGCTTGTAGTTATAAGTTCATGGCAGGAGGCTGTCGGGTCAGTTTCAAGATTTATTGAGACAACAAAAAATAACTAAAAGTTTCACAAATAGCGGCTCAGTCGCGAAGGTGACTACCGTCCACCTCGACCAGTCCCTTGATTGAAGACGCACTATTGTTAATTCGACGATGGAGTAACTGCATGAGTTCTTTTCCTTTGCAGAAGCTCCGTAAGGCGTTATTCTTTTCTATCTCATTTGTGAACGTCTGTTAAGGACAAAGGATCCATGCGATTTTGAGACTCATGCAGTCTAGT